CACACACACGTGACACAAGCCTTGGCCTGTTTGTGGCGGGCTGAGGTCAAGGATTCGATCCCACCGTGGCGCGGGGGCTTTGGAATATTAGGCACATGAACAGGCAACCCATCATAGGTGCCGCAACGCAAAGGAGAAGCGGTATTTTGGGCCCACAAGACTCGAATACCATGATATTTATATATATATACAGTTAAACAGAAGTGCTCCAATAAAAGAAAATTTTGTATGTATGTATGCACACACCTATTTTTTGAAATCGACTCCGAAAACTTCTTCACTTAGTTATTCCTAGGAGTTGTAAAATTTACCCTGAAATAAACTTGTGAAATGATCCAATACTTGAATAATTTATTATACACAGCACATGCATGAACATTTTTTTGAATTTTTATGTTTTGAGTCATAATTTTCGTGAAAGGCTTGTACTTTTTTAACACATTTACTGATCTTCTTGAGCAATTAGTGGTAGAAAGTATGAAGAAAATTAATAGATGCTATTCTTATTTGAAATTGATCAAAAATGGGCAACTTCGCTAGGTTATATTGACAAAATGCCCAGATTGCCGCATAAGAAGAGAAAATAGTGCTATTAGGGAACCACTACAATCAATGCAATATTCAGTAATCATTTGTAATATGCTTGTTTATGTTCATCTATTTAAATAATTAAATGAGCTTGAATTAAATTTAAAACTCGACATATTAATGAACTCGTTTGAACATTGACATGTTTTTTCATGATTAATATGGTCATTCACAGGTAGCTTGATAGGAGCTTGATGAAATGCTCATTTAATTACGGCTTAAATGTTGTTTTTATAACTAATTCCACATTATATATGAATTTTCTTTTTTTCTATGCACAGTAAAAGCAAGTTAATTTACCATAAGTATGAATATGGTGATCATATTGAGAAAACAATTAGACTAGTAGATTATTGTTTTTCTTCTGTTGCAGGGGCCTCAAGTGAATCGTTTTACTGCTCTGCTGCATCTTGCTCCTAATGATTCTGTGGAGGATGTTCTTACACAGCTTCAGCGTTATGCATATTTGGTACAAGGCCTATGGGTTTCTAAAAGTTCTTTATTTCATGATGGACTCCCAGCTCTGTATAGAGATTACATCCTTCTGCAATTTAGTAAACTGCATGCCGTCCATGATAGCAAACTGAAGGTAGTAAAACCTGAAGATCTTAGAAAAAGTTTGCTAAAACCGCTGGCTGTTGAAAGACCTTTGCTTCAAGATTGGAAATTTAAAGAAGATACCGATTCATCATTTATTAAACAATATCCTGAAATTGTTAAAGAGCAAGAACTCGCTTGGTCTGTTCGTGAGAAGGAAATCTTGGAATCCTTGCCTGCTGGTGGAAGAAGCTTTTCTTCAGTGTTGAAAAACTATGCAAATCTGGGCATATCATCCAAACCCAATGGTTCGATCGAGCCGGGACACAATAGAGATAGAAGTGATTTGAAAAGTTCTGTATTTGCAAATATGCCAAATAAGCGCCAAGAACCTCTTGCAAAATCTATTTTGGAACTCTTACACCTTTACAAGGTGCTCAGGTAATGAACCGGGGGTTTATGTGCAATTTTTAAGATCCCTCGAAGCGGTAAGTTATAAAATCTGATATGGAGAGATTATGTTCTTGTTGCAGCCTTAATTCGATCATTCAAGGATTGCAGGGAAAGACGAATGCTGGCTCAGCTGAGGTTCAAAGTGCTGCAGATCAAATTGCTTTGAAAATTCATGACATATATGTGTTGAAGTCTTTGGGGAAACCAACATTGGATCAATTCAGGTTGTATTAGTTTGTTGTGATTAGTTTCACTGTTTCAGTAAGTTTCTTTTGTTTCGTGGCTGTAACTATAATATCTATTTTTTAAAAATTTATTTTTTGCAGGAATGTTGTTATTGAATATTTCATTGGCAAGGGGCGAAATGCAAAGGTTAAGAAGCAGGAAATAAAATTAGCTGCTCAGTATCGACTGAAAAGGGTTGTTTCTGATGTTGATTATGGTCAGGTAAGCTGAAATTTTCTTGTTTACTAATATACTTAGATTAGCTCCTAGTCTTATACCTCACAATTTCTTTTTTTTTTACATATCTAACACCTAAACATTCATATTTGCATGCATACTGTTAAAGCCTTCAACATCGCATCAAAAATACACATTTTTATCCCCAAATGTAAATGCCCAAATGACACAAAATCCTTGTTTTGTCAGGTTATGAATGAGCTTTGCGTGTCTAGCGGAGGATCATGGATGCTTAAAAGTGGTGCCTTGAAATGAAGCTGGTCACTTGCTTAACCTGACTTATTTTTGTAATTGTTGTAAAATTTTATGAGTTTTTTTCTGTAATTTTGAAATGTCTGTTTTCCTTATACATGTATATAGGGTCATTACTCATTAGTTTTGTTTATTAGATTTATATATTTGTTTTGACATTTTGAATCAATAATATTTACTAATGATCTTTATCATTTAATATTTGTAGCTATGAGCTTTGTTGATCAACTTTCTTTCAGTTAGCTATATTTTGTCATAAAAATTTATATTCAAAATTATAAATTACAAACTCGAAGATCATTAATCGTTGGAAAATCTCTTCATACTTTGGTTTGGATCGTGATCAGATCGAAGTAAATGAGCCGAGCTATGAGCTAAAATTTTGAATCGAGTTTTTTTCGAGCTGATCTAGCTTGACTCGAAAATTGTTTTGAATTTCGGCTCTGATAATGATCAGATTGAAACAAATGTGCCGAGCTATGAGTCAAAATTTTGATCGTATCTATTTCGGGCCGTTCTAGGTTCGACTCAAAATCGGATCGTTAACAATCCTATATTTAACCTAATACACTCTATTTAACTCCAAGTTTGGTTACCTTCGACATATTGCTTGATCTTTAAAAGTTGTTATTCATCATCATCTACTTATAACTGCCATGGTTATATGACGTATCATCTTTTTTAAGTGTTATACGGCTTAATTCAATGGTGCCAATAAGAGTAAATCAGTTGTTAATGCGACTGAAAAAAAGTCGTCAATGGAGTGATTGGAGGTTAATAATTAGGCTTCGTTTGAAACAGCTTCACTGTTGAACAACTTCGTTTGAAAATTTATCTTTCTCCCAAACAAACTTTGGGAGATGTTTGTGTCATGCTATTTCACTAAACGAAAAATTTTTCAGCCGTTGGCATTCACTCCAACCGAATGAAAACTCTCTTAATGTATCTTTCAACTAATGTTTGAAGGTAGCATAATTGCATGCATCATGACATTTAAGGATAACAAAGATTAGGCATGTCTCCATAATTTATGCTGATTTGTTTATATTTTGATTTAAATTAAAACATGTTTAATTAATGCAATTATTTTTAAAATATTCAAAACATGTTAGAAGTGTTTTGAGTATTTAAAAAGAAGTTGATTTATTTTTACAAATAAAAAATGAAAAAAAATATAAAAATTATAATAACCAAACTTATTTTTAGAAGTACAAGAACAAAAAAAAAAAAGGAAAATGTGTGATGTCAAATGGATGGGTCATATGGGTTTGTTTTCGATCGATCTTTAAAATCTAACCGACCGAGCCAATCATGCCGATTAAAAACCAGTCCAATTATGCTGACTGGTTCCACCAACTTAATCAAGCCAATAGAAGAGCCTTATTAAACCAAATCATGCTAGCCAAACCAAATCGTTTATAGGACAGCCGAGCAATCTGCTCATGTATATAAAATATCCAAAATATCATGTAGCATATCCATTAAAACATGGGCAAAGATGTAATATTATATATTTACTCACTTGCATATAAATAGAGGGAACATATTTGAGAAGGAGCTAATGAACAAGACACTTTACTGTTCATTATTGTGCATTCTCTTTCTCAACTTCTCTTTTTTTCACCCTACCATTTCTTACGATATGACCCATGAGATTTTTTTTACGGACAAATTAAGATTCAACATTATCACTTTTGAAAACTGAAATGCACTTTTTCATCAATAGGTTTAAAGCACCAGTCTTATGTATGTAAATATGAAAATTTATGCATGAAAAATGTAAATAGATAAGAATTGTGTGCTAGGTGTGTAGATTTCCATAACTATTAAAATGACACATATTATTAAGAGTTCAGATATTTATGTAATTAGGCTTGTATATAAAGATAAAAAAAATTGTACAAAATTATTTTTTCCTTAAAAAGTCATACTAATGACTTTTTTGATTAAATCATAAGCTCAAACTCGCATTCTCTCGATTTAGAAAATATTAGGACAGGATTCTGAATGATCCAAAGTCCATTGAAGAGGTGCCACTTGTAAAGTAAACCCATAACAATACACCGTGATTGATCTATTTTACACGTGTCACTCCTCTATAAGACTTAGAATGTATCTAGAGTCTTAAAGTTCATCCGGAGTCTTAAATTAATATTTTCTCTCTTGATTGATTGTATTAATTTGCCTCTCCCCGTCGGGCCGGACATTAATGTTTCCGGTTCAAGCGGGTCCAGTTCACCAATAGCGGGACGATGGATCGTATTGTAATGATCCACCACATGAAAACTTGTGAAAACCAGCTAGGGTTAGCAGCTCCCCGTATCTCGCATTATTGTAACTGGTAAGAGCGATTGTTAAGCAGAGGATAGACCGATGTCGATACTGTGGGAGAAGAGCGAGACATGGCGTTGGTTGGTAAGGAAAACGCGCGACTCGAGGGGCTTCTTCCTTGCATTCGCGACGGCGTGCGGCATTGTTCCCGCCATCATCGGCTATGGAGTTATGCAAATTACCAACTCTCGAAACGAGCAGCTAGAAGCCCAGCTCAGGAAGACTGCTCGCCCCGAATCATTGGTATGTAGTTCATGGCCAACACGAATGAGAGCCTCATTTCTTGGTGGACTCTCAAATGAGATTCTTCACTTTGTCCTTCTTCTTTTCGGTGGTTTCGTCTTTTTTTAATCTTGACCTTTTTATTTTAATGTTATTTTAATGTGCGATTTCTGATTCTGAATTTGGTCAAATTAAACTTCTGCTACGACCCCGAGAGGGTTGAGGGATAAACTGCAATTCGAGATGTTGGCAACTGCAGAAAATGGGAATTGAGGAGGGTGAAGATGAAAATCTCCGAACGAAGGGCAATTGTTCCTTTATTTTGAGGCTCTAAGAATCCAAAATAGGAGAATGTAATGACTTATCGACTAACTAAAAAACATACGTTACCCATTGACTAGCATGACTCAGAATAACAAATTAACTCGAGCATAAACTACCAATTGCATTTATTGATCGTATCATTATCCACCACATGAAAACTTATGTCTTTCTCAAGGTTGAAGCTCTCTAAGACATGATAAATTCATGTAGCAAGCCCGTGCAGATTGTCAAGTCATGAAATTTTAGCCCTGAGGTAGTCAAAATTGTAGGGACTGGGCTAGACATATTTTTTTTTGTAGATCTACTCATGAATCATGATGATAGGGGTGGTGGCCATTCATCCCGTCATTTATGTTTTCCTTGCTAGAAAGTACTTGAATTGGTGAAGTATGAAAAAATTTCGTGCAATAGAAAATTTAATGGTGGGGGGAAGGAGAGGAAGTTTTGATGTTAATTTGAATCACACAAGGGGGTCGAAGAAGTGGTTGCCACTTGTTAATAGTTCAAATGCATTACAAAGGGCCTACTATTCTTCGTCACAAGTTGGGAGTAGGAGCCCGTGTTTGCTCAAATATGCTCAATCAACATATCATTGATGGCGTGGACAATCTCCTATAACTCTCATAACTTCTATTCAACTCTATCAAGGTGATATAATTCCTTAGTCGTTGCATCAAAAGCATCAGTCATCGTTCAACTCTAGCAATGCGGCAATGAGTATGATTAGAGGGTGAAATCTCCATTTCATCTCTCTCTCTCTCTCTCTCTCTCTCAATAAAGAACTGTGTTGAAATCGTGAAATTAGTGGCGTAAGTTGGGAGATCGATGAGAAAGTCTTGATTAGGTGATGCTATGAGCGCCAAGAGATAACACATATGAATGAATATCGTCAGTGTGGCTCGATGGAAGAAGTTTTGGAAGGCACGGTGGAGGCGAGATTTATTGGAGGGAAGGCGAGATGGAGGCGAGATTTTTTGGAGGGAAGGCGTCGACAACAAGATGCACGAGAATTTGCAAAGGAGATTATTTTTAGTCATTTCTCTTTCTATTTTTAAAGGTTTCAGTTTATCTATCGTCGTAGATTTTCCTTTTTTGAATGCGAAAAAGACAACAAACAAGAGAAAGAACATGAAGAGCTTAAGGACGATATTATATCTTGCAATGATAGGTCAAGTATGTTCACCCAAACAAGATTTGGTGGAAGAACCATGGACTATTATTTTCGAAAGAATACCTACATAAACTACCATCAACCAGAGATTCGAGTGTTTGTCTGTTTTGGGTCTAAAGTGCTCCCAAAGGGATGTATCCCACTTGATTAATTACATCTTGGGGGTTGCTCAAGAATACTATTGATCTAAATGAGTTTTGCTTACATTAGTAGAGGCGACTAGCAAAGGGCTATCAAAAGATGATTATCTTGTAGGGGAATGTTCCAATGCTTTCAAAGCTTCCGTTAAGTCACATAGAGGAGAGTGAGTCTCTCACGCTCTCTATGTGGGTAATAGACTCATTGATATACAGAGTTTGCTAAATAATCAAATCATTATGAAGAGGAATTTTGATACGTCAAAACACATTCGGACCATAAGGGTAGAAGATAAATCGTCGCATCCTAAATGGGCGGCAGCTCATCGACGATCGGGCCGTTGAGATGATACCAACGAAGTCAAAAGAAACGACATGCCTCAATAGGAGTAATTAAAGGAAGGGAAGAGTAATCCCTAGAAGGTAGAGGTAGTCGGGTTAAGGTACCACAAATCTGTCATCCCAAGCCACTAGGACCCTAAGTATACCTAGTCTTGAAAGTAGTCGACCAAACACGTCGAGAGATCCCGGTTAGCAATCCATGAATTTTGTCGTCCGTAAAGACCTCGGTAGCCCTAAGATAAAAAAAATGAAACTTTATCCCATGACTGTCAGGTGGAGCTCTAACATATGGGGCTTATACTTACCGAAATGACAAGGATGCCGTTGAAAAAGAGAAGAAAGAAAGATTCAACAAAAAAACTTACACCCCATCCGGGCCGCTATCTAGTCGTACTAGACAACCTCTTATATAGAATGATATGTTAGGCAGTCGGGATCAAGAAGCACGAGACTTCTCATCAGGACATATAAATGATGCAATTATTTAGAGCGGTCCTTAGATATTTTAAAAGCCCTATTATATGACTTGGGTTATGCTCATGCAATGCGACCCGTTGTAAAACTGGCTCGAATACCATGCAGAAAGTAAAAGACAGATTTTAAAAATCTTCAATCTTTTAATCCTAAATTTTAATTTATCTTAAATTTTTTATTAGGATTTTTTTGTAAAAAAATTATAATTTTAACATCATAGAGAGCATAAATTATAATTTTTGTGACATCCTAAATAAATAAAAAATGGACAAGGAAAATTATCCAACCATGCACGCACGCGAGAGAAAGTAAAAACACACACACACACACACACACACTATCAAATAGATTTGAAAGAGAAAAGAAGACTCGACTGTCGGTCAAATTTTTTTTTCGATTGATTAATTATGAAAATATGGTGTATGAAAATAATTTTTGAAATTTAATGTAAGTATAAAAGATATATATAGTTTGAGTTTTAAAAGTAGTATATTTTAATTTTAAAAAAAAATGAGACCAAGTGGATCTCATTCGTCCAATAGTTTGCATAATCGTGTCTGATACCGCGAATACTACACCCTCCCGAAAGATAAGTGTAGACCTCGGCGATAGACCCAATCCGAAAGTGTAAAATGGTATAAGAGATGAGAGGAAAATAGCTCACATATGAAAGTACATTTTAAAGGATTTTAATTGATATGACATGAAAATAAATGTTTAAGTCATACATTTTTGCCCTCAGATGGTACTGACAGTGAATGCAATGTGCCCTTGCATGTTAAAGAAAATGGTAAAAGGTACATTCGGGTACAATTTTGAGGGTGCCTTGTCGGTCAACTTTTTTATTTTGAAAATATTGAAAGTAATTTTGTAATTTAATTTAAATATAAGAGGTATATATTTTTTATTTTGAAAGTAGTGTGTTTTAATTTTTTTTAAAAAATGAGATCAAATGAATCTCATTCGTCAAATAGTTTGCATAATCGTGCCCGATATCGCGAATATTGCACTTTCCCGAAAGATAAATGTACATCTCGATGATAGATCCAATCCTACAAATTAAGAGATTTGTGACATCCATTTGGTCTGCGAACCTTTTATGTGCGACCGACAAGTTCTCTTATATAATACAAAAATTAGTTAGAGTTTATTTTACTTGGGTTTCAAGTTCCCTCTAGTTAATTACATCCCAAATGACAGAGTCACTTGAGAAAACTCTCGATAATGATCAGATGTACTAGTCTTCAACATTTCAAAGTTAAAGTTTTCACGGTAGGACGTGAAAAAATAAGTGGGAGTGGCTCAAATAGGAATAACTATTTTCAGGAGTCCAAAGGAAGGAAAACGTAGGGGAAGTCACAGATCCTAAGGAGAAACCTTAATGACTTCCCAAACTATCCTAATGTGTGGATAAGTTTTGGAGACGATATTATTTAGGTATTTAATCCTGTCAATTTTATTATTTGGGACTTACATTTGCATAATATCCGATTATGCAAATAACCTGCAGGGATAGGAGAGTTTACGATATACCATACGACAACTTCGAAACCTAAGACGCGCTAGGACTTACGCTGCACAACATGATTGTGCAGGAGCCTAAAGAGTGTGAGGATACGTCGCGCTGGACAAGCTACTTCGGAGTTCTATGAGTTGTTATTTAAACTAAGGAGCGAGAGATTGCTGAAGAAGATCCTCTTGCTGCTTGATCCAAGCTTATTGCCGTGTTGCCCACAAAGTTGGCTCCAGACTCATCGTTGAAGTAGCAACCCTAAAGTCTTACGTTCAAAAGGTTTTACCAGGTGTTCCAAAGTTTTAGTTTTGTTGTCATTCAAACATTATGGAGGGTTAAAGTTGATTAGAACGACACCAGTTAGGATCTCATGGTTCCCTCGTTCCGGTGTCACTATTTTCTTTTGAACTTATTTAACTTAAACGAGTTGTGAAACTAATTTAAACCGGGGAGATCTCGTTAGCAACCGTGGGTTACCTACTCCGAGGGACTCCCGTAAATTCAAAAGGACGTGTAATGTTTTTTTTTATTTTGAAAGAGTTGTTTAATTTTAAAAAAAATGTTTTGTTTTGAAAGTGAGGTTATATTACTCCTAGGTGACTTCCTATGACACTGGGCAACAACTAGCACTCCAAATCATTAATTTCAGCACATTGCAGCACTCCAAATAATTAATTTCAGCACATCGCAACACTCCTACAGCACTATACAGTGATTGACAACTTCAAACAGCATTTTGAAAGATCAAACAACACTTATACAACAACTTGGACACTTCCTACAACCTCCTACAGCAATCGCCAACTTCAAACAGCAATCTGGACATTTCCTACAGCCTCCTACAGCAATCGGCGACTCCAAACAGTGCTCATATTAGCCCAAGACAACACTTTGAAACAACTCCCAAATCAGCTATTTTAAAAGCTTCAAACAGTACTTTAAAAGCTCAAAGATGGCACATAAAACAAGTTGAAACATCTTTTTAAAAGCTCAAAGGCAGCACTTGAAACAACTCCAAGCAGCGAAAGTGTAAGACAAAGAATAGTAAAAAAACACAACAAGCTAGAATGACCTCCTGATCCTTCTTCAAGGAAATAAATCTAGCTAATGCAACAACAACAGTCTTCTGATCAGACACTTCAACCACTTCCTGTAGGGATACAATAACAGACAAGCTATTGACGATATAAACAGGTGTGTGGCATTAAACTTGCACATGTCTTCCCCATATAGACCTAAAATTATTTGCTCTATGAATGTTTCAAATCATAATAAACCTTAAAGAAGTGCAACTCATAAATAATCCTCAAAAATAAAAACAGTACAATTCATAATCGTGACGGCAAAAGGTCAGCAATAACACATCACAGAATATTAAAAAAATATAGCATAAGAGATATGAATTTACTGGGCTTACTTGCTATCAGATTCATGGAGGAAAACATTGAGGGCTTGAAGTGTCGTCAGAGGAAGAGGGAGTTCGGTTGAACACGAGTCCCGTCGCACAGAGGAGAAGCGAGCGGGCTCTGTCGAGTGATATGGAGCAGAAGCAGGAGCAGGCGTTTCTTCGGCGCAGAGAGGATGGCGAGTGCGGCTGCGGCTTCGGTGCGAGAGACAGAGGCAGGGAGGAGGGATCGAGCTGGCGGCGGCTTCGATGCGGGGGTCTCGGACGGGATTCCTCGGCACAGCAAGGAATCGAGCGAGGGAGATGAGCAAGAGCGATCGTGCGGGCAGGGAGGCGAGTCGAGCAGCGTCGTTTGCGCAGGAGCGGGAGCTTCGTCTTTCCCTGTAGAGCGAGCTCGAGCAGAGAAGCCTCGGGTTGGCGAGCGAAGGAAGATGAGTCGGGGCTTCGGAGAGGCAGAGGAAGAAGGGGCGTACGGGATCGAGCAGATCTGCGGCTTCGATGCAGGAGACCCGATATTCGCCCTTCGAACCAAGGGAGAGGCGC